CCTGCTCCTCTGATGCTGTCTGGCCTGCTGTGTTCCTCCAGCTCCACACTGTTGTTTAAGTGCAGGTCCCACCCAGAGGTAGCATGGTGTGGACTGGTGATGCCCGGAGCAGATCACTTGCAGTGGCGTACTGTAGAAGCGGAGAAGGAAAAGTTGGACTCTCTTTAAGTTATCTTTCTTATTTTATTCTAAGTTCATGTGAATGGTACCTATGTACAGCAACTGTACACACTTTTCACTAATTCTATATTGAATACATGTGACAGTAAAGGATATTTAAATAAAAACCAAAAGAACTGCGGATGCTGTAAATCAGGAACAAAAACAAAAAAAGGATCTTCTGAGGAAGGGTCACCAGAACTGAAATGTTAACTCTGATTTTTTTCTTCACACATGCTTGCCAGACCTGCTGAGCTTTTCCAGTAATTTCTGTTTTTGAAAGGATATTTAAATACGAACAAGGTTTACAAATTATGGTCTGAGCAAAGCTTTAAAGGGTTACACCTATTCTGGTGGTCTTAAGGATGAGACAGTCCTTGAAAGGGTGCAGAGGAAATTGATCAGAATGCTTCCAGGGCCCAGAACTGAGGACCCTTAGCTACGCCAGTAGGTTAGGCTCTGTTACGGACCAGACCAGGCCCCATCAAAATATGTTAAGGTAGCCTGGACCCCTTTTCTCCCTTATTTTAAAAGGTAAATAAAATAAGGGGTGGTGCGTTCCAGATGCAATTCGATTGGTCAAACTACTCGACGTTAAACAAAACACAATTTATTCAAACACCATAGATAAAATACAACAAAAGAAAGAGGAACTTGGAGTAACAATAGATACAGTAACTAATTAACTGTTCCAATATAGTAATATCCCATAAACACACCTTTGGCAAAAGGCAAATTCAGAAAACAGATTGTCTCAAGTTCAGTTCTCCAATCCAGGAGGAAAGAACATCAAAAGACAATTCTGAGAGATAGAACTCCATCTTTCAGCTGTATCCAAGAGATGGAAAATGCAGCTTTCACTTCAAGACCCCACAGCAACTGCTGAAAGCTAATTGAAGGGTCCTGGTACTATAAGAGCTCAGCCACACCCATTCAGGCTGGTTCTATTATTCCAACTTAAAAGAAAACCAAAGCCTCAAGTTATTTATCTTCTGTGTGGAGTTTGCACGCTCTCCCAGTGTCCGCGTGGGTTTCTGTTGGGTGCACCGGTTTCCTCCCACAGTACAAAGATGGCAGGTTAGGTGGGCTGGCCATGCTAAATAGCCCCTAGTGCTCAGGGATTGCAAGTTAGATGTGACAGCTATGGGAAATACAGGGATAGGGTTAGGGGACGGGTCTTGGCGAGATGGTCTTCAGAAGATCTGTGTGAACTTGTTGGGCTGAATAGCCTGTTTCCACACTGTGGGGATTCTTTGATTCTCCGACTGCTCACCAGCTGTCCCCTAATCTCTCTCTAAAAGAAACCAGGACAAAATACACTTCTTACAGCCACAGCATTGTCAATAGTTGAACAAACTGGATTTTATTTTTGGAGCAAGGGAAGCTAATGGAATCAAAGAGGTGTGCAAGGTTGACAAGTCTATACAAAAAGGTAGACAAAAGAAAACTGTTTCCATATATTACAACGATCAAGGAATATAGATTTAAGGTTTTGGGCATGAAATGAGGTTGAGGCGCAAAGGATGAGTGGGAAGAGACTTTTTTAAAAAATAATTGGCAAGCATTAATAACCTGTAACTTGCTACCTATGACAGTGGTGAAGATGTAGACAATGAAATGATTTTAAAAAAGGAAAGAAACAGATAATTGAACAAATAAACTTGCATGTTACAAGGATAGAGAGTAGGGAGAAATCGGACTGAAAGATTATGCTAGAGAGAGTTGACAAGGATTCAATAGAGTAAGTAGCCACTTCCTATACTGAAATCACTCTAGGATTCTACAGTATTCAAATTAGACAATGACAATGTGCTTCAGAACAGCACAAGTTTACAAACATCAGAACCAGATTCGGCTTTTAATTTGAAAGAAATTTCTCAAATGTGGCCCATAGATAGGTTTTTCCTTCCATTCTGACAATGTACAATTTCAGAAGAAAATAAAACTCTTGATTAAAACAGTTAGCTTTAAGATTGAAAATGGGATTGCTGTTCCTACACAAAACTTTGAAGAAATCAAAACGAAATGAAAGATTTGAAGCAGAAGGAAAGTTGCTCCAACAATATAGTGTTCTGAAATGCTTTTCTTATATTTATAAGCCTCGTATTGGCTATCATGGTATTGAACAATTTTTCCAATTCATACAACTTATACCCTTTATTAAGATTTATGAGTAACCAATGCTGACTGGATTATTACATATGCACTTCAAATTAAGTTTTACACTTGAAGCAAATGAACAGCAGACAGCATTGTCATAACCTGACCAGCAGCACAATTTTGCAGACTAAAAGAATGCTTAACTTACTTAAAAATTGTAAGCGCCAAAAGCAGTTTGTGCAAATATCAACTCAAGATTCTATTGAAAAAAGTAATCCATTGGTTCCATAATTTAACAGATCCACCAGAACCACCAACTAAAAAAAAAGCAGTGATTGATCAGGTCAATAACTTGGCCGTTAGCAGTTCAAAACTCTTAGTCTGTATCAGAGAAGTGCTGAGATATCTGTTTGTAAAAGTGCAACTACACTATGATTTTAGGACCATGTTCCATATGTTCACAGTCAATCCACGTGATACTAAATATTTTCACAGTGGCCTGGAGACTGATGCCAGAATTCTATTATTGGTTAAAATTTGTACATTGTTTTGATTATTCATTTAAGGGGCATTACTCAAAGGCTGGCCAACATCAATCTTATGAATCATCAGATGTCTGGCATTAAACCAGTACTCAAGTTAGCAAAAAAATTGAAAATTGAATTTTTCCACTCCAACAGTTCATATGGTGAACCAGTGTCCTTGACTGTTCAATTAAATTGCAAATTAGCTTCTAATTATAAAAAAAACCAAGCATTTCTGCCATAGAGCTAAAATAATGCATAAAATATTCTTAGAGTCAAATTCTTACAGCATACCAGTAAACGTAAAACTTTAGACACTGAAGCCAATCACTTGAGAAACAAATGACAAATCATGACCACACAACAATGAAGGTCGGGAAAGAGGGATGAATCTGCTTATTTTTCAAGGAAAACAGCAAACGGGCCGATAGTTTTCTTGATGGTGATCATGGGGCAAAGTGTTAAAAAAGTTAAAGAGATCATAGCTAGGCACTTGGAAAAAAGGCACTGGCATTTGGGAAGAGTTAATGTGACTGTGTCAGAAGGAAATCATTTTTAAACCAATTTATTAGACTTCTTTGAAGGAGTAATTTGCTGTGGATAAAGGGAAGTCTGTTGACATATTCTACTTGGATTTAAAGGAGGCATTTGATAGTGATGCCATAAAAGTTATCACAGAAAATAAAAGCTCAGAAGTGTAGAGGGGAACACAACAGAGATGGAAGACTGGCTGCTTAGCAGGCAACAAAATATCCAAGAGTCTTTGACAATTGGCAGGATTGATGAGTGGAGTCCCATAGGGATTTGTGCTGGAGCCTCAATCTTTTGTGACTCAGATGAGGGAAGCAAATGCAGGATAGCTAAATTTCCATAGGATACCAAGATGGATAGAATAGTATGTTCTAACAATGACAAAAAGAGGTTTGCGGACAGATAGACGGGTCAACTAAGTTGGGAAGAATGAAATCGGAGATGAATGCAAAGTGGGTAAATGTGTAGCTTTTCACTTTGGAAGGGCAGATGAATTTAGGTATTCTAGTGCACGAGACCCAAAACGTCAATATGCAGGTACAGCACAAGCATGACAGCTAATGGCTTATTACAAGATAAAATTACCAGAGAAGTTAGGATGCTATGCTTCAGACTATATCTCAAAAACTGTATGCAGCTTCGGTCTTATTATTTAACGTAAATGTCTGAGACAGTTTAAGGAAGATTTACTATTGACAGCTGGAATGACTGTGTTGTCTTATAAGGATAGTTTGTACAGACTGGACATGTTTCGACTGCAGTTCAGAAAAATGAAGGGTGATTTAATTGAAGTGTACAAGATCCTAAAAGGGTGAAAATGGTATGATGACCCCAGTTGATGTTACTATTGGGTAAGTCATACCCTAGTCTGAAACATGGTTTGACAGGTCATATTTTGTTCTGATTTCATTTTAATGAGTTGGTCTCTCACTGAAACAAAGCATGCCATGTTGCAGATTTTGTTCACAATAAAACAGAAGTGTATTAACCAAAATAAAAGATGATAAAATAGAATCAACCGAAATATTTACTTGTAACACAAACTGAAAGACTTCAGTATAATCCCAAAATACCTTGACAGAGTTAAAGGTATCTGTGACTTTAGCTCCTAGCCTGGAAATGCTGGTAGGTCCAGGAAGAAACTACCCGACACTGGAGTTCAATGTCATCAGTTTCAAGTAACCTCTTCAGGGGTTTGTCCTAACACTTCTGGTTACAGACTAACTCTTTACTCTAAAGTAATCCAGTTTCACTGTATTCTCCCCTTCTCAGGAGTACTGCTTTATACAACTGCCATCCAAAGGCTTCATGGAACTTCCCAAAACAATGTAAAAAGTTTCTCCCTTTAAGCTGTGTGTGCTCCCTCTAAGGGTTTAAAAAAAAATCCAAGTCGAGAAGTTTCTAACAGACCTTGAAACATAATGGTTTACCTTGCTAAGTTGTAAAATATGCCATGGTTAACAAAAAGCCGTTTGTGCTGCCAGTGTAGCTCTCTCAAACTGTTGCAAAAGAAATCACCACGGTTACAGAAATACTTACAAGTTAATTACAAACTTCAGACAGAGAAAATCCAAACTTAAAATTAACTATATGAAACCAAAAAGCAGACAGTTTAATGTCATTACAGAAAAGGATGCTTCTTGTGGGTGGATTCAGAACTTTGAAAGTGGGGGTGTATTTCAGGGTTGAGATGAAGTGAATTTTTTTCTCTGATGGTTTGTGCCTCAGAAGGTGACGGAATGGGTCACTGAATATTAAGGCAAAGGTAGATAGATATTTTCCTATTAGGCAAAGCAATCAATTAAAAGGACAGCAGATAAGTATGTGGAATTCTAAATACAAACTGATCAGCCACGAGCTTATTCAGTGATGGTGTAGGATTAAGGGGCCTAATGGCCTACTTCTACCTTGACTTCATGCTTTTACCTCAGATGAAATAGTTGGGATAAAATGCACAATAGCATAGGCTGCACATTGCATGTGGAAGGATTGAGGTCCACAGGCAAAAGGTTTCTCATTCTATGCTTAAGATTTTTTTTCTTAAGTCACATGGACAAATACTAATGGAAAGGGAAGCAATGCCAATACAGACAAGAGTTTGGACAAAATTAAAACTTCAAACAGTTTCACGATCTACACATCTTAAAAGGGCTGAAAACATTAACTAAAACTCTAATCCAAATTAATTATCTTGGCACAAATTGCATTAGTGGTATGAACATAGCTCAAACAGCTATTGAATTAAACCACAACATTCCAAGGGAACAATCAAGTTACAACTATGCGCAGAGATGTAAATTCAACTCCCTTGCATAATCATGAATAAGAACTCTTCTAGTAAATAGTGACATCATTACAAATTGACTGTAAGAATACTTAATAACCTTGACTGAAATGGGCATAAATGAATGATAAATCTGAAATAAACATCACTACCACAATGGAATACTGCCACTTAACGTTTGAAGTGCGCAAAGCGATCTCTTGTTAACATTTGTTTAGATAAGCTCATTGAGATTGTAGACTTGCACACCAAGCTAGTGTGTTTGGGTGCAGATGCTTTGTCACTCTGTTGGGTCAGATCATCACTGCGCCTCTGGTGAAGTGTTGGTGTTCTGTCCCGCTTGTTATTTATAAGCCTCGGTTTGCTGGGGTGGTTGGCCTTGCTTCTGGTTCTGTTTTTCAGTGGTTTGTATATTGGGTCCAGTTCAATGTGTTTGTTGATGGAGTTCCGTTTGGAATGCCAGGCCTCCAGAAATTCTCTGGCATGTTTCTGTTTGGCTTCTGCTATTATGGATGGGTTATCCCAGTCGAATTCATGTCCTTCTTTATCTATGTGTATTGAGACCAATGAGAATTAGCCGTGTCTCTTGGTGGCTAGTTGGTGTTCGTGTATCCTCACTGTCAGTTTTCTTCCAGTTTGGCCTACGTAATATGTTTTTCATAGTCCTTGCATGGTATTTTGTATATTAATGTCAGTTTTATTGGTTGTGGGTATGGGATCCTTTAAGTTCATCAGTAGTTGTCGCAGGATGGTTATTGGTTTGTGGGCTACCCTGATACCTAGGGGTCTGAGTGGTCTCGTGGTCATCTCTAATATGTCTCTGATGTACGGTAGGGTGACGAGTGTGTCTGGCCGTGTTGTATTCTTGTTGTGGTCTGTCACAGAGGTAATGGCGGATTATGCTTTTTGGGTATCCATTCCTTTTAAAAACTCTATACAAGTGCTCCTGTTCTGCTTTGCGCAATTCTGGATTACTGCAGTGTGTTGTGGCCCGTTTAAATAATGTCCTGATGCATGCAGCTCCATTTATAGATGTTGGAGTGGTTGCTGGAGTAATTAAGTATCTGGTCCACATATGTGGTCTTTTCTGTATATGCTAGTATGGAGTTCCCCGTTGTTCTTACGTTCTACCATGGTGTCTGGAAAGGTTAATCGGTTATAGTTCTCTTCTTCTTTTGTGAATTTTATTCCGGTGAGGATGTTGTTTACGTGTCGGTGGGTTTCTTCTAGCTTTGTGCGTTTGATAATCACGAAGCTGTCATCTACATAGCGGACCCAGAGTTTGGTTTGTATAGTGAGGAGTGCTGTCTGTTCTAACCTTTGCATTATCGCTTCTGCGATCAGTCCTGATAGTGGGGATCCCACTGGTGTTCCATTTGTTTGTTTGAATATAGAGTCGTTGAAGGCAAAGTAGGTTGAGGGCCATAGATCCAGCAGTTTCAGGGTACTGTCCTTTTTGATGCTGTTAGTATCATGGGGTGCCTGCCTTCCTGATTCGTCTAGCAGTGTGGCAATGATCTCTTTGGCTAGGTCGATGTTTATGGGCGTAAATAGTGCTGTTATGTCGAAGGAGATCATTATTTCGTCCTCTTCTATTTTGGTGTCCTCGATGATTTTGAGGAATTCTTGGGAGGAGTGGATGGAGTGGGTAGTATTATCAACTAAGTATATTAGTTTCCGTTGTAGTTCTTTGGCTAGTCTATATGTTGGCATGCCTGGTAGTGACACAATGAGTCTGAGGGGGGCCCCTGGCTTGCGTACCTTGGGGAGTCCATAGAAACGGGGTGTGTTGGACCCCTCTGGCTTCATTTTTATATAGTCTGACTTGCTGATATCTCCGGAGTTGTGTAATTTCTTCAGGGGTGTTTTGATCTGGTTCTCAGGAGGCATCCACAACCCGAGCTAGAAATCTTCTCAAAAACTATAAACTCACTGTGAAGCCCCACCTCACTCAAATATACCAGTGTCCTAGAAATTTAAAATACAGTAACATTTAAAAGTTTTCATTTCTCAGAATTTGTTTTCACTGTCAATATCCACTCTCATCTTGAGCAAAGTGAAAATTGAATATTTCTCAATCTCCCATAACGAATAACCTGGGCTAGTTATGAAATTCCATTCACACGAATTTAAATAGGGAAAGAAGAACAGATACCAGTGGAAGCAGTAGACACAATCATTTGCCTACTAGTTGACCTGCAACCAAATAAAGATAAATATAAAATTCAAGTCTGCACTCCCATTAAAGCAGCCAATGCCATGAAATTTACTGAACCTTTTACTTCTGAACTTCTTGAATACGTTACTTAGTTCAAAAACAACTTTCCAAATTATTTGAGATTATACATGCAAAGATTTACTTCCAATGGCAAAATTTCTAGTCGTCATCCAGCTTTCAAAAGCCCAAGTAAGGTAGATAAGATCACTTTCCTCTAAAGTTAGCTTTTTAGTTTGCGGTGCCAAGTCATTCATTTCATGACCGAGTTTTATTCCAAATAGTAGAAGGGTCATGTAAGCAGCCTTTAATTTCTAATACTCAATTATGATAATATTCAATAAAAATAAGTGTTCTTGACTACTCCAAGCCAGCAAATTCAGTAGAATGCTATTTAAATTTTCTAGCCACTTTATCAACTTAGCAGTTGTGAATGAAGCGCTTCTAATTACTGAAGGTGTCAATGATTTTAAGCATACTGCAATTTCATTAAGATACTAAATACACTCCACAAAAGAAAGTACAACCCTTATTCACTGGCATTCAATCATTCTATGCACGGTATGTAGAGGTAGCCAGTTCGCTTGGTATACCAGACAGATCAGCAACAGGACCAATAACAGCACATTGAAGAGTTTGATTACTCAAAGCAGACCACAAAATATCACACGGAATCCCTCAAAGGTCTCAAAGCCTGTACACCACTGCTACATTGAATTTATGCTATTGGGCAAATACTCTGATCAAAGTTGTTAAAAATGCTTTTATTAAAATGAGATCTAAAATTATTGACACTCACTGGATAGACAAGCAGAAGACAGCATTAGAAATGGAATCCACATGAGAAAGACAAAAAGAATGAGTGTGGGTGAAATGAGCTAGGTTACCTTTTGGGGGAAAAAAGATGGAACAGGCTATATCTTGTATGTGAGAAGATGGGCAACATTTCTTTGGCACAGGAAGGTTTGGGCCTGAAAAAAAAAGTACTAAACATATTTTATTTCTACCACTACACTCGATTATTATATACACTATTCCTCTAAAGGCAAAAGCTAACCCAAGTTATTGACAGCTTCACTTTAACAAAGCATGCTCCAGTAGGAAGACTGGATTCTGGTTACTTGAATGAATGCTGACAATGGAAAGAAGCAGGAGTCAAAAGTTCCGCTTGGTTTTTGAAATTCTGTACCCTATAGGGTTATGAATGCTCAGCTGTCGAGTAGCCAAGGTCAATTGATTTCCAGACATTGAAAGAAATTTAGGGATGGGGGATAGGATAGGGAAGTGCTGAGGTTAAGCATCAGACACAATGTATTAAAATGGTACAGCAAGTTCAAGAGGACATATGGCCACTCCTACTCCTATTCTTTTTATCATCGTCATTGCATATCAAAGCAATATTTATGCAGCCTAAATGAAGATAACTCTCCCACAAGTATGTACAAAGCGTAACATGCTAGCATAATGGAAAACTGAAGACATGCCACTGGATGAAAGGGGCTTCTCCCCCATGCCCCCACCCCCCACCAACCTCCTGACAGTTCAATTCATTATTTGTACGTTCCTTACTAGAGTCAGCATTCTTGGGGGAGGGTGTCCATAGATGTTGTGCGATCTCCACTAGGGTAAGAAGGGTAGTCAGTTTTCACATGAATCCTTTTTTTTTCAAAACTAAGAAAAAAAACTTCAAAAGTCACAAAAACTTTGACTTGAAATTTACAAGATTTGCAATAATATTCAAATTGCCTACATATAGAACGTTCTACTCAATACATTTGTCATTTCCTTAATATTTACAAAATACATTCTACATCAGGCATATAGCCCAAGGACAAACATTTCAAATCACAAGAAAATAGATACTTTTTTCTCTCCATTCAACACGTTCCATTCTAAAATGGCTCAATATATTTTCAATACTCTCGATTTACATTATACTTTCTTTCCGAGGTGAACAGCCAGTAGGGTTCTACACTTTCCAACCCCTTAGCATACTTCAG